GACAGAAGACAGGCAAATTTCCCCTTTGTTCCAGGGGTGCTGAGGAAGGGGTGGTGGCAGAAGGGGAAAGGGACTGCTGACGCTCCTTACCTCTTCTTCTGGGCTTTGGGGGGCCGGTGCTTGAGGGCATTCAGCACGTAGTATTTGAGCAGCTTCTGGTAGGAGACCCTCACCTTCACGGGCTGCCCAGCAGGACAATGCTCCCGATACCTGGGGGGACAGACAGGGCAGGACATGGCAGACGCCCCTTATCACACCATGCCACCTACCTCAAAAGCCCCATCCTCTACATTCCAGAGGAGACTTTACCAATTTTTAACCAAGGGTATGTCCAGGGCACGGCGGGTGCGGCCAGAGCGAAGGTTGAAAGGCCGTGGTGCCCACAGAAGGGCAATGCCATTGGCCGTGTTGTCTGTGTAAAGGGGTGTGTCCTTGAGGAAAGGTTCCACAAACTCAGGCAGCTCAAACTCCTCATCGTCGTCTGGCAAGGGTTCTTGACTCTAAGAGGGAGAACGCCAAGGGGCTCAGTCCGTGCTGCGCTGGGTACAATCTCTGGACTCCCAGAAGCCAGGCCCATCAGTGATCCCTATCCCCGAGGAGCCAGGCGGCTGGGAGATCCAGCCTAGCAGGCCCCACATCTCCCACGCGAAATGGATCTAGGCCAACTGAGCCTGAACCCCACAGGAAGCGATCACAGCCACCCAAAACAATACCCTTCCTAGCCGGGTTAGCAAAACACAACACAGTAAAAAACTCCATCCAGACTGAGAACAAAATGGAAAAAGAAGAGAAAAAGAGAAAATCTAACACGGGGAAAGCAACTACTATCCAAAAGCGGAGGCAGAGCCCCCATACAGAAATCAAGGATGAGAGCAAAACAGTGATTTCAGCCAATTACTGCGATTCCAATCTGTCTTCATGAAGAGGGTGAAAAGAAGAGTCACCACTGAGCCATCGGTTCTAAAAGTCAATCCTCAGCTAGAAAGAAGCCACGTTTCTCTTTAAGGCAGTCATTCACAGATGAGACCCTGAGGTCACCCCCTCTGCCTCACCTTGACAGAATGTCTGTGCGAGATGGGGTTGATCAAAGGATCAAAGTAGAAGGCGGGGAGATCAGGGTCCTCTGTTTTGATGAACACAACATTGGGAGTGTGGTACCTGAAATGAAGGATTAGTCAGAGCCTCACGATCAACAGGTCAAATCCCTCCTCTCGTGTGCACCCGCCACCACCTCGACCCGGCCCATTTCCCAGCCTTTGCGCTCCTGGTCCAGGTTCCAGTCTCTTTACCAGGTGAGGTGGACATGGTGTGGAAGGTTGTTGTACAAGTACGGAAAAGCAATCTTATATTCGGTTCTGATGGGCTGCCTGATGATGATCTTATTGATGTCATTAAATTCATTCCAGTCTTCATCCCTGGGGGGAAGGAGGGGGCAGAAAGCAAGCACCAGTAAATTCAGCTACCCTAGTGGGGGTGTTTAGTGCCCCAGACCTGCCAGAGCCTGGCGTCAAGAACAGATCTGACCCAAACCAGGGACCCTGTGAGCCCTTCTTTCTTAGCGCACTTACTGAAGATTGATGTCTCGGACCAGGGGTTCGAATTTCGGGCCCCCTGGGATGGCCATGTTGAGGGCCTTTGAGGTGAAAAAGGCCTTCAGGTCAAACAGATAGAAGTAGTTGTCATCCACAAGGTCAGTTAGGAGCTGATTGGCCAGGCGGTAGAGGGTAGACATCATGGGCAGTGTGAATTGCCAGCGCTGATAAGTAGAGCCATTCACGTACCTGTAAACGAGGGGGCAAAGGTGAGAAACCAATACCATCTCCCCAGGCCATAGCAATCACTCCTAAAGCCAGGACTTCAATCGCCCTTCAGCAGACCCAAAGAGGACCAAGGACTCCAGCTGGCTGAGCCTGGCCCACTGATTGGAAGCTGTGCTCACTCACTTCCTGCTGTCCCTTAGGGGCTGGTGGTCATAAAACCAGTCCAGCACAGGGGCATCCTCCTCAGGGTCCAGTTCCAGCTGAATGGCCTCCAGAGGCTCCACATCTAGGATGTTGTCAGCATAGTCAAGGGGGGGCTCCTCATCGTCAAATGGGGGAAAGCGCATGCGCTTGAAGTGCCGCCTGTCCCTCTTCTCTCGACGCATCATGATCCACATGGACCTGGGGTGAGCCACGTCACAGATCAGAACCCCACAGAGAACAAAGAGACAACCTCTAGAACCCAAGCATTCCCCAGTCCTTCTTACCCCCACTGAGAGATGTAGACAGGCTCAATGACCCAAGGAATCTCATTGACAAAGGAAATCGCCCCAGTGATGTGGTACAGAACAGGTACGTCCCGAATCTGCTCCCAGGGCATGGGCATGTTTTCCAAGAGCTTGAGGACAGCATGAGGCATGTACTTCAGGGCACTGCAGCAGTGGGTAATGAGAGGGTGACAGAAAATCAGTACTCCCATGATGCTTTGTTCCCTATCCCACATACTACATTGTTCCACCTGACTCATATTCTTCCAGAAATCAACTGCCCTGGCAACTCCAAAACTCTCAGGCTCAGTTCCAGGCCAGGTGACCGTGGTCAGTTTTTCTGTTTCCAAGTGAAGGGAGTGATGTGTTAAAATTCTGGTCCCTCCACTCACCTAGCCTCTAGTGTACAGTTCAGATAGGGAGGAGGTAAAAGGGACCAGGAAACTCCAGGCAACTTCCAGCTTTACTGTTTCTATGTTCTGGATGCCTTAAGAGAATTCATATTCATTGAAGTATGCCAGAACAGAGCAGACCTCTGGGCCAGAAGTGGTAAGAAAAATCCATGCAATAATGCTACTGAGGAATATAAATTTTGGGATCTGGTCACACAATCCTGGAGCTCCCTCCCTCAAATGGGCGTTAAGAATGGCAGTACTCATAGAGGTGTTATCCAGAAGGGTTGTCCAAGGCTCCAATCTACAGTCAGAGAGGAGGATAACAATTGTGTCCAGAAACAAAAATACCAAACAGCCTGGGGATACAATCACAGTTTTATGAGGACAATGGTCTAACCAAGGCCAAACTGGCAGCTGTGTGGGACTCCCTGGAAATAACAACCTCTCCACTTTCTCGGCATCCCTCTAATCCCTGATCTCCTCACCCCAGGTAGACTCGTTTGTCATGACGGAATTTCCGGTTGGTCATATCCCCATGGTCACGGATGATCTTCCTGACATGCTCCGGGGGCATATCTTCCTTCTGTGCATCTACAAATCCAAATTTCCGCTTCTCTGCATAGCGCTTTGCCTGTAACTGTTGCCATTTCCGGGCTGGAGAGAAAAACCAGCTTGGGTCACTGTCTACCCCGTGTGAGTATCCCCAGTCCCAAGGTGACTTCCCCTAAAAGCTTTCTGGATGGGTCTACAGAGGAAGCTCACCCATGGGACCTATACATGGTAGTGATGCAAGTGGCACCCCACTTCCCAGCCTGAAGTTCCCAGACCCCTCACCTTTTTCCTGAAGCTTCTCTTCTGACATGTAGTCGGGCAGCGGTGCCAGAGGGCCGGGCACAGGGGTACCCGGCCCTCTGTAGGGAAACACCCCGGCCATGTCCGAAGAACCTGGGGAATAGTAATGGAACTCAGTAAAGTCTACAAAAGAACAAAAAGGAGGGAAAGGGCAATCTGGAAACTCTCTAGGCCCTTTCCCCAACCCACCCCCTAGGTCTCTATACCTACATTAAGATAAATGTAACCTCCTGGTCTTCTCCCAACTCATCCTGTAACCTCACCTCAACCTCCTCTCACTCCTGTGCCTTCCTCGCCTCCCCCAACCTTAGGGCCGCTCCTAACATACCAAGACCCCCCATTCAAGCTCCTGATTCTGCCTACTTGGCTGTGTACGCCCACATTTGGTGCCTCTGTCGTGCCAGCCTCCTGGCTCAATCCCCCTCCCACCTCGACTCTACAAACACTTGCATTGGGTGCTGGCTGTCCTCCCCCTTCCTCATCGATGCCCTAGACTCCTCTCCATACCTTTTACACCCCCCCATGCCAATGCCTCCCCCCACCAGGGCCTTGTGTCTGCTTTGCACACACTTCTATGTGCACTCGCTGTCCTAGATAGACTGGAAGCTCCTTAAGGGCAGGGGCGGCTTTACTTTGTCTCTGTATCTATCCTCAGTGCCAGGCCCACAGGAAGGGCTTAATCGATGCTGCCGGTTACTCAGCCTGTAGCGCCAGGCACTGGAGATTCGGATACAAAAGGGAGACCGGCCTGCCCTCAAGAAGTTTACCTACGACCTTACCCCTCGAGCTTCCCCCCCCCGCCCCCCCCTCACCATGACCCTGCGCCCCACGCTCACTCCGAGCCCTGCCCCCTTCACCGAGAGGACCTCGACTCCATACGCTCCCTGCCACTCCACATGCTCCCCATTCTACACACCCCTTTCACCCAGAAGCCCCCTTCTCACCTCACTCAGCCCCCGGCCCCCGCTGCATCGCGCATGCCCACTGCGCATCCCCCCCCTTACGCACTGCCCCGCGCGCTCCCGTCTTCCTTACTGCGCGTGCGCGCCCCCTCCCTGGACACTGCCGCCACTTCTCCCAGCATCCCCGCCCCCCACCGCCTCTATTTCTCCTTCACCTCTTCGTGCAAACCATCCCGCTCCCGCGCGCCCCTGCCCTGGCCAGCCTCCCGGACCCCCTCACGTGCCATCAGCCCTTTACTCCCCCTTGCTTACCCCACAGCACCGGGCAGTCACTTTGCCGTTTCTACGAAAACGCAATGGCGGCAATCACAAGTCCGCCTCACGTTCCCAACGCCCGGAAATGCGCAAGGAGCGACCGCGGTGGAAAAGGCACTAACATCCAATCCGCATCGGTCGAAGAAGATGGAGGATGGGCATAGCCAATAGGCGCCATGCATCCGGATTAGATAGGCGGGCCGAGACATAAGAGTGGCTTTGCCCCAGAAAAGGGGAGGGGCGCTCTGGGGAGAAGCCCCGCCTCTCCCACGCTCGCGCCCTTCCCCTTCAGTGTAGCTCTGGTCCCGCCTCGATCTTGTAGGTCTCCAGGACGATCGGCTTTCCTGCAAATATGTGGGCATTACATGTTTTTGCATAACTTATGCAAATGAACCCTATGCAAAGGTTTTCTGATTCCTCCAGACGTGTAGTCAGAACCCTAACGCTGGCCATAGGGCTGACCATGGACCTCAGAAGACCCTAGTCGAGTCTGACCTTTGACCTGTACTAGCAGGGTGTCCCTGGGGAAATTACTTAACCCTTTAGTGCCCCTAGACAACTCTAGGATTGTAAACAGCAAAGAGAGTGCCGACCTGCCATGGTAGAGTGAGTTTTCCTCGTTAGGAAATCACAGGTCCCACCCAACAAACAAAAACAGCCACTCTGAGAAGCATCCCCACCTTCCTCCCATGGAAACTGTGATGATGATGATGATGAAGAAGAAAAAGAAGAAATATCTGGCATTTGTACTGCCCTTTAAGACCTGCAAAGGGCATTGCGTGTATTATCGCATTAGAACCTCCTAACACTGGAGCTGTGAGGTTTATTATCCCCATTTTACAGCTGGGGAAACTGAGGCCCAAAGAGTGACTTGCCCATAGTACCATGTCTAGTGAGTGTGGACTGTCCATTGTCTGTCTCCACGGCTGACTCTCCCCATCCCTCTGGGCTTCTCTTTTCTCTCTGCCTCTCTCCATGTCCTGATTTTCATTTCTCCCAAGGACATACTGAAGACATTGACCTGCTGTTTCAGCTTTCCGGAGTCCCAGCTCTTCCTCTAGTTACTTTCCTCTTGTGTAAAATAATAATAATAGCTCATCTATAAGATTTCCAGAACATTTTCCTCACAGTAATCAAACCATCAACAAGCATTTATTAAGTTGGAGTGGCTAGGCTTCAGTCAGGAAGACCTGAGTTCAAACCAGGGTAAGTCACTTAAAATTTTTGTTTGCTCAGTTTCCTCATCTGTAAATGGGAGTAATAATAGCCCCTACCTCCCAGATTTGATATGATGATGATCCAATGAGATAATATTGGTAAAACACTTTGCAAACCTTCATGTGCTGTATGAATGCTGACTATTCTGACTACTTAGCAAAGTACTAGGCATGCTAAGAGAAAAATAAAATAGCCCCTGCCCTCAGGGAGCTTAAATTCTATCAGAGGGACCACATACACATATATAAGTACATATAGAATATATACAACCATGCAAAGTCGTTTAAGGAGGGACCCCACTAACAGCCAGGGAGATCAGGAAATGCTTCATGTCAAAGGAGCTGTTGCTTGACTTACATCTTGAAGAAAGTTGGGGTTCTAGGAGCTAGGGATGAGCAGTGAGCAGGCAATGAGGAATAGTTTGTGAAGAGGGACAGAGACCAGAGATGGAACATAGCAAGTGAGTGGGTCCTTTGCAGCTCTGACATTCTGTGACTGTTTCATTGGGTTGAGGTGTATGGGGTGGTCAGGAGGATGAGCACCTGAGGTGGGAGGGCTTACTAAGCCCTTTTCAGGGCTGGTCATCCACCTTTGATGTCCGCCTGTCACCCAACTTTCACACGTGGCTCCCAGAAGCTGTAGCGAGAGCAGTGGCCACACCCCAGTAAACAGTCTCAGAAGACAGGCTAACCCAGGCCAAGGGTAACTGATGGACCTCAAACCTGTCAATGAGTTAGGGGGATGTTTCACCCAAGCATGTGAAGACTTCCCCTGGCAGAATGGACAGATGAGAACATTTTGCTCCAACAGCCACGAAGGCGGCTGAAGCAGGCGCTGTGGAATGCTTAGAGCCTGGTCAGACACCCAAGATGCCAAGGTCATCCTGGGCCATTTCCAGTCATCCAGACTTTTATTTTGCCTCTGGACTTGAATGACTCTGGAAGAGAGAGTGAGGCTGATGACTTTTCACAACTGTGCCTCCTTTAAATCCAATTCACGCATAAGTCAAGACATCACCTCGAGATGTCGCTTTGAAAATGCAGGATGAACACAACCCTGGGTCAGAGAACTTAAAACTGGTACCTGTTACATTAAAAATAGTAATAACAATAACATTAATGACTCCATATTGCCCTTGTCCGACATTTCCTGAAGCTAAAGTTCCATCTGCTTGTAAAGTCACCTGATTTGGGAGAAGTCACAAGATTTCTCCCCCTCCTAAAGGTTCCCCAGCTTAAGGAATATCACAAAACTCCCGCTCTCCCTCTCACCTCAGTGTCTCTCTATACCCTTGTTACATTGAGAAATAAAGGTAAACTGAGATAGACTCCCAGCATGACCAATTTACTAGGCTAGCAGTAACTGATAAATTGGGTCTATGGCCTCTCAATAACCCTGAGGTAGGACTTACTAGCCTTCATATAGTTTTGGGAAGCACTGAATTGGGTAGGTGGGGAAGACAATGTGACTGGTTACAGGGTAAACAGCATCATGGCCAAGGGGACAACATGATTAGTTACATCAAGGAAATCTGCTGGCACCCACGTGGGGCTAGTAGCCACTCCTTTCAAACAATTAAGGAATGTTCATTGTTTTATGGGACCCCTCCCCATTTTATAATCTTTGTTAGGGGATCAAAACTACCAGACTTGCTGTCTCCTTGGAAGAGAGGAAAACTCCCCTAACTGTACAAGTTCAGGTGACATATCTTTTGAGGATGGTACCAAGTTAACTTGTGGGGCTTAAAGATAACAAACAGATGTCCTGGAAGTGTCTCAGGGGTTATCAGCATGAAAGGTGACAACTTTTAATTATAAGTTTAAACTAAGAGGGAAATCTGAATTTGTTAGCTCAACTTAAGGACATGGGTGGCATTAGGCAAATGAAAACTCAATTATAAAAATCAATACAATATAGAATCAATTACAAGGTGGAATTAATTTGAATTTCTCACCCTCCACCAGTGAGAAACCACATGTCTCAATCCCTACAATCCTATTTTTCCTGTTTTTCACTCCTTCCAAATTATATATTAACTTCATAGAAACCAAGCTTAGGAGTCCTTGGTTTACCTAGAGCCTTGGACCCGGTTTGTTTTGCAGCCACACGCATTGCTAAATAAATCACCTGTCTGGATGAAACGCAGTTTCTTTCCCCCCCCCACCTAATATACCTTAATCCTAATTTAAAAAACAATAACAATTGTGCCAAATGCAGGGTAGAGACTTAATAGATTGATTAAGAGGCAGAGACAGAGAGCCTAAAGGGAAGAAGAAGAAAAGTGGAAAGCAAGAAGTAAAAGAAGAAACAAAATCAAGGGGAGCAGAGAGAGAAGCGCTTACATACACACACATGGGCACAGCCAGGACTCTGGTGGGATAGTAAACTGAAGTGGAATTCTGCACAAAACAAAAAAAAGTGAGAAAAATCTCTACTCTAGGGGCATTGGGGGAGGCCAAAGGGGAAGGGAAGGAATAAGCATTTATATTTATATAGTACCTACTATGTGCTAAGTGCTTAGCTATAAGCTAAGCTACATAGGCTAAGTGTTAATCGGCATACAATTATTGTCTTATTTGATCCTCAGAACAACCCGAGAGGTAGATACTATTATTATCCCCATTTTACAAATGAGTAAACTGAAGTCAACCTAAGGTTAAGTGACCTACCCAGGGTCACACAGCTGGTAAGTGTCTGAGGCTGGATTTTAGCTCAGGTCTTCCTGACTTCCAGCCCAGTGCTCTGTACACTATGGCGCCCCCTAGTGCCAGCAACATGTAAGTCACAGTCCCTGCCTGCAAGGAGCTAACAGTTTACTCATGAAGAATTCACCCATTAGGGTCCATCTGCAAAATGAGTCAGAGAGTTATGATGAGAAGAGTGCTTTAGAAAGTGTTTTAAAGACTAATGGAGTGGAGGAGATTAATCTGGTGGTGGTGTGGCAATATCAATCAACCGCTCAATTGTTAAATGCCCATTACTGTCAGGCACTGTGCTAAGCACCAGGGATACAAAAAGGAGCAAAAGACAGCCCTTACCCTCGAGGAACTTACAATTTAATGGGAGAGAAAACAGAAAACATGCAAACAAATACACACAAAGTTATACACAGGATAAAAAAGAAATAATGAAAAGAGGGAAAGCCCCGGAATTAAGAGAGGTTGCAGAAGGCTTCCAGTAAAAGATGGGATTTTAGTTGGGATTTAAAGACAGCCAATATATCTGAGCAGGGAAAGCCTTGAGGCTGGGAGATCAGATAGGGGGTTGTTGTCACGACCAAGTGATGAGGCAGGAAAGGTCTGAACCAGAGTGTTAGCAGTGGGAATGGAAAAGAAGATACTCATGTTAGAGATTTTCTCTCTCAAAGTAAAGGTACTTTCTGAAATGGGAGAGTAAGAGCCATAGCTATAAGATCTCCTCCTCCCTCCTTCTATCCCCCAAATCTGGGGCAAATTGTACCACAAATACCCACAGCATCAGTGGGACAGGTTGGAGTGAAGTTTACAGCACATGCACGAGGCCAAGACAACTTCTCTAGCCACTAGGGGGCGCCATGGTGCATAGAACGCTGGGCCTATGGTACTGCAGGCCTCTTATGCCCAAGAAGTCGCTAGGTCTCCAGGTGTATTCACACTGCCCCTTGCTGGGCATAGGATCTCTGCTTCTCAGCTCTCTCAGCTGACCCCCTGAACCAGCTCTTCTCTATAACTCAAGTCCCAACTAATCAGGTTTAGAGACATTTGGAGGAGGCAGGAAGACCTGAGTTTAAATTTGACCTTTAATTCTTATTATCTGTGTGATTCTGAGCAAGTTGGATAATTTCCCTCAGCCTCAGTTTTTTCTCTATTTGTTGGTGTTCTGTCATGTCTGACTCTTCATGACCCCATTTGGGGTTTTCTTGGCAAAGATATTGGAGTGCTTTGCCATTTCCTTCTCCAGCTTATTTGACAGATGAGGAAACTGAGACAAACAGGATTAAGCGACTTGCCCTGGGTCACACAGCTAGTAAGTGTCTGAGGCTGGATTTGAACTCAGGAAGATGAGTCTTTTTGACTCCACGCTCTGCTCTCTATCCACTGCCTGCTTAGCTTTCCTCTTTATAATGGAGGTAATAATAGTACCTACC